CGTGCAAGTCACCTCAACATAGCACTACAATGTGCAAATTCGGGGCTTCAAACCCTCAGAGCAGCATTTAAATCTATTACTCAACTCAAGCCGGCCAAAATCCTAGCTCGCTATGCCCTTGCCTCTCAAATCGACCTCCTCGTGCGCCTAATTTGATCAAAACCACAACGAATACGTCACAATATGCCAATGGAACAATACCCAATCGAAAACAATCGAAAAATAGCAAAAATCTCGAAATTAGCAAAACCCGAGCCCCGGGCCCACTTCTCGAAAATCAGAAAATTTAACATCAGCGGACTCCTTATCTCGCCACGAGTCCATACATATAAAGATTACCAAAATCGGAGTCCAAATGACCCCTCAAATCCCCATTTTAACTCTCTTAAGTTTCAAGCCCTAACCTCCATTCTAACTCCTTAATTCCTTAGTCTTTCAATCTAAATTCATGTAATAACACCTTAGAATTGTGTTTTAGACTTAGAAATCCTTACCTCAAAGAAGTCCCTTGATTTCTCTCTTCCAACTCGCCCAAATTCTCCAAGTCCGAAGTGAAAATATGAAACCCTTCAAAAGTACGCGAAGATGAAATTTAATAACACTGCTCAGTCATTTCCGCATCTGCGGCTCCATGGTCGCATCTGCGACTCCCGCTTTTGCGGTCAACAGGCCGCTTCTGCAGAAATATCCTCCTCTGCGGCTGAACATCCGCTCCTGCGCCTTCCATTTCTGCGGACGAAATCTCGCATCTGCGGATCCCCCATAAAAGCTCAAATACCGCATCTGCGGTCCTCCTGTCGCTTCTGCGACTCCGCAGATGCGGTCACTAATTCCGCACCTGCGGTCCCTGCCGCTTCTGCGGCTCTCCCCTCGCTTCTGCCGTATCGCTTCTGCGGTCCCATTTCCGCAGAAGCGAAAATACCAGAAGCAGCTGCAATTTCTTAAGTTCACAAACCAAAACTTCCCGTTAACCATCCGAAATCACCCCGAGGCCCCCGGGACCTCAACCAAAAATACAACACCTCCTATAGCATCATTCAAACTTGCTCCAATCATCAAAACACCTCAAACAATACCAAAACCATCAAATTACATCGGATTCAGGCCTAAGTTCTTCTAAAACTTCCGAAACACGCATTTGATCAAAGACCCAACCAAAACACCTCCGAATGACCTGAAATTTTGCACACACATCCCAAATCACCTAATGAAGTTACTGCAACTCTCGGAATTCCATTCCGACCCTCGGATCAAAATCTCACCTATCAACAGGAATTCGCCAAAATACTAACTTCGCCAATTCAAGCCAAATTCTACACTGGACCTCCAAAATCACTTCCGATCACACTCCTAAGTCACAAATCATCCCCCGAAGCTAACCGAATAGTCGGAATCCACATCCGAGCCCTCTAACTCATAGGTCAACATCCGGTTGACTTTTCCAAAACAAGCCTTCCTTAAAGAGACTAAGTGTCTCATTTCCTTCCAAAAATCAACCCAATTCAACTCGTTCACACAAGACACTGATAATGACGCATAACGAAGCCGGAAATGGGGGAAATGGAGCGGTTCTCATGAGACGATGGGTCGGGTCATCACACGCAGTATGTACAATCCATGCTCTTCTCTACCAATCCCCTTCACCTGACCACTGAAGAGGTCCTGAAAAATACATAAGTTAGGGAAGAAGCCAACCATACATTTTAGTTCCTTAGTGAGTTTTGAAATTGAGAGTAGGTTGAACTTTAAATCCGGAATGTAGAGAACGTTAGAGATTTCCTGATTACTTAGTAGTGAAGTATTTCTTGTATGTGATACTGATGACACACTTCCAATAGGTAAGTTTACTTTGTTTTCTTCTGTGTTTGGAAGTGCCCTATATTTGTACAACATGTCCATGCTTGAAGTCATATGATTTGATGCCGTGTCAACAATCCACTTATCATTAACACAATGAGACATAAAAGCATTCACTTTGCTCAGAAAACCTGCAACAGCTAATTTGCTTGATGAGTCTGATCCTTCTATGCTTCCTTTGGACAACAGATGAACAATCTGCTGATACTGTTTAGGAGTAAAGACAGGAGAAGGATGTGGCATTTGGTGGAAGAGAGTAGGTTGATTAGCTGGTTGTGGAGGACCGAATTAGAGTAACTTCCTCCCCTGCCTTGTTGAGTCACACTAGAAGCTACATTGCTCCCCATAGTATATCTGTCTGTACAGTTTACCTCTGTACCACACACTTGATTTGCATACTGTCCAGTATTGATTCCTTTCTTTTTAGTTTTGAAATCTGAAGGATATCCAACTAGCTTATAGCAATTTTCCTTTGTATGTCCCTTGTAATGGCAATACTTACACTGAACTTGACTCCTCTTTGGTTTGTAGTTTCTAGTATTATTTGTGTTCTTGTTGCTATACATAGCTACATTCTCCAAGGCTTCAGAAACTTGAGCTACTTGTGTCATATTTGTAAGTTTTCTCTGGCTTTCTTGATCAACTAGCATAGAGTATGCCTTATTTATACTAGGCAAAGGGGGACATCATCATGATTTGGCTCCTTGACTGAGAATAGGACTCATTTAAGCCAATAAGAAACTAAAGGAGTTTTTGATATTCAAAGTGTTGAGCATACTTCTTTGATTCAGGACAAGGACAACCAGGGCATGGCATAAGAGCATCAAACTCATCCCAAAGCTCTCTTAGTTTGGAGAAATAGTCTGTTACAGTCATAACTCCTTGAGTCTAAGTATGAACCTCCCTATGTAGGTACAAAATTCTGGAACCGTTTACTTTATCAAATCTCTCTTTTAAGTCTTCCCAAACTTTATGAGCACTAGATGCATATAAGACACTACTTAGCAAACCCGACCTCACTGAATTCATTATCCAAGACAAAACAATAGCATTCACTTTCTCCCATAGATCATGAAGTCAGGCTCAAACCTAGATTTTGGAAACCTACCATTAATAAATCCTAATTTACTCTTACCTAGCAAGCCAATTCTCATTGCCCGACTCCACAAAGCACAGTTATCAGATCCAGTAAGTTGAAGAGAAATCAGAGAACTACCTGGTGTGTCGGTTGGATGTAGATACAGAGGATGATTTTGATCAATGCTAGGGAAGGTGGTATTAGTCATGAAATTGCCATAATTTGCTGAGGTCGTGGCAGTGTGCGTAGGAGTACTGGAGTAGTATTGTTGATTTGATCATCTTCAACTGCCATTGTTGACTGGAAATTAGCTTCTCAGAACACAATTGGCAAACCCTAGCTTCGATCGAGAGTTACTCTAAGACAATTCGGCACCTCAAATTGCAGAATTGAAGCAACCTAGACGAAGGAACTCGTTCGCAACCTTGCTAATTAGATCCACACCGATGGCTCTGATACCATGTTAACAGCCATGGGAATGGTGATCAACGTAATGTGAAGAAGAATCTAGAAGGAGAAGATCAGAGACGAATGAGAGAAGAAGAGAACTAGCTCACTTCATTTTTTGCAAAAAACTGAATTATGTACGACCTACAACAGTATTTAACAAAACTAATTAACCGACTTTCATTAACTCCTAACTAACTAATTCTAATTAATATTATGCTTAAGTTTAATTATGATTAGCTATCAGCTTGACACTTAGCTGCTAGCCAACAGGTACCGTTTTGGATTTTTTGTTAAAATATTATGAGCTGTGACTTGGTCTCTAAATTGGGCGATTTCTTAAAAATGTCTCAAGCTGTACCACAATTCTCTATAGAGTCTGTTATTTCTTTTAGAATTTAAGTTAGATACAATAAAATATGAATTTCTCAACACACACATATACGTATTACTTCCTAAAATTTGTATTACGTTATCAATTAATTTTATCATAAATATATGTTCATTAATTTATCATAAATATCTATTAATAATTATGTAGAGCAGAAAAACCTAACGTCAGAAAAGGAGGGTTGTCAAATAAGATACAGGAGTCTAGCATTCATATTCTACCATTGAGCTTGTTAGATTGTATCCAAAAAATTGAGCTTGTTAGACGTTTCAAATCGTGATAAAACAAATATATAAGTAAGACTAAAAGGAAGAGGACTAAATGTTGAATTTGTTACGAATAAATTGAATTATATATGAATATCTATTACAGCTTTACGAAGAAACATGTTGAATTTGTTGCAAGCAGCTTACGAGTAGCTTTGCGAACAGCTTATAAGCAGCTTTGCAAAGAACTTTGTGACGAAGCTTCCAAGCAGGGGCGATATAGCTAAAACTAATAACGGGTTCAATTTCAATAATTTTCGATGCAGAATAAAATTATATATATAAAATTAGCTAAAATTTCAAAAAATTAGATATGAATATAGCTTTACAAAATATTGTGAATCCAATACTAAAACCTTAAAAATTGAATCCATATAATTTAAGTCTTGAATTCACCTTTTGCTTCCAAGTAACTTTGCAAATACCTTTTAATTTACTACTGAGTAGCTTACAAACAACTATGTTCTCCTATAGTTATTATTCAAAGTGAAATAGCATATTATTTTTTACTCCAGTCATTTTAAAATACTATTTTCTTATTAGTCTGTTAAAAAAAATTAATATTTTTAATATATTTTAACAAAAAATATTTATAATCACACAAATACTAAAATAAATTTAAAATTATAACTTTCAAAAATTTTAACGGCACATAAATACTAATAACTTATTTAAATCACATATCTGAAAAGTGTTCTATTTAAAATTTGTGCCTTGGACAATCTTTTTGATTCTTATATTGATGAGAGTAATTGTGCACGAGGATGTTGGGTATACATTACAGTTATCGCACTTTTATTATTTTGCACCGAAGATCAGAAAGAGACACGTAGTATTCCAAACCCCATGCAACATAACACGTATTCATCTTTAATCCAGCAACACCCCCTAACGTGGGCATTCAAATTCAACTTCCGCAACCCCACAATTCCCTCTTAATTTCCACCGTACTATATATACCTTTACTCTCATCCATTCACACATAGGGAACAAAGAAAGATGATGAATATTTTCGCTATTACTCTTGTATTAACCACACTTGTAACAGCAGGGGTCTTTTCTCCAATCCCAGAAAAGAAAGAAGAAGTTATAGTCAAAGAAGGTCATAGAGTTGTAGTTGTTGAATATGAACCAAATGATGGAAATACCAAGGTCTCAATTTCCCCACAAGAAACAGACCAAAAAACAACAGCAGGGGTTGTTTCAGGTGTCAAAGATAAAATATCAGATACAGCAGAGACAGTTAAAGACAAAATCAAAGAAGCTACATCGTTTGGAGAAGAAGAAGGAAAAGAAAATGGTGGGGTTCATAAACCAACTGCTAGAGAACTTGTTTGTGATGCTTTTGGGAAGTGCAAACATAGGATTGCAAGTGCACTAGGTGGAACCAAAGACACTGTTTCTGGAAAGATGCATGAAACTGAAGAAGATGCAAAAGAGACTGTTGAAAATGTTTACGACAAAGTGAAAGATACAGTTGTTGGAAAAGCACATGAGGCTTCAGTAAAGGCAAGTGAAGTGAAAGAAAAATCCAAAGATGTTGTTGAGGACATAGTGGAAGAAGTAAAAGAAGGTGCTAAAGAGACTGCTGAGAAAGTGAGAGAAAAAGCTAAAGACGTGGGCGACATAACAGGGACACTGAAGGGTGATGTGAAGAGAAATGCTTCACAAGATCTTGATTACATAGAAGAAAAAGCGAAAGCAGCAAAAGATGCAGTGAAAGAAGATGCAAATAGGCTTAAAGTGGAAGGCAAAAGGGATAATCAAGTAATTCGGAGGTTCTTTTTTTATGTGTCGGAATACATCGTATCAGACAAGAATTTTAGATCTTTAATGGGAATGGTTCATTTTCTTGGCTTTGCATTGGCTTATGGGGTGTGTATTTGGGTGACATTTATCTCGAGTAATATTTTGGCAAGAGCAATGCCAAAGCAGCAATTTGCGATGGTACAGAGTAAGATTTACCCTGTTTACTTCAAGACTATGACTTATGGCGTCGCCACAGCGTTTTTCGGCCATTTCATGAGCCAGAGGCATCGATATTATTATGCGAACAGGGCTGAAACAATCCAGGGTTTCCTTTTTTTGGCCTCAATATGCACGAATTTGATCAACTCCTTCGTCTTGGAGCCTCGATCCTCCAAGGTATGTGGTTATTTCCTCTGTTTTTTCTGCCTATGTGAACTCACCTAGCCTAATTAGCTTCCTCATGTCTGGTTTTGGATCCAGACAAAGGGCTGTAAGTTCTATGCATCTATAGTATATATGAAAGATACTCCATCCGTTTCAATTCATGTAACATCTTAATATTTATTTCATTTTTAGTCGGTCCGAAAAAGGAAGGACTATTTTACATTCAATGATAATTTAACTTTAAAATTTTATTACTTTACAACGAGGATGGTTTATAGCCACACAAATAATTTGCTTTAAAATTTATTTTTGACCACAAATTTCAAAAGTCTTTCCTCCTTTTTCTCTGACGAGCAGAGATTTATATGTGAAATCTTTAAAAGAAGATTAAAACTATGTTCTAGATCCTTAAGTGGGTTTTGTGGCATGAGGTGGAATAATTAAGTTTAAATCTTGAATTCAAGCTCTCAAGTAATCAAATTTCGATATATCCACCTTCTCTGTTTCTTTGGTCATTATGCAGATGATTAATTTAAGCATTTTTGTTTTGACCTACAGCTAATTTAAGCGTCTTTGGTCATTATCCAATTACAGGTACTGTAAATGGATTATAATCATGATAATAATCTGGATAGTCTATCCCACCTCCAATATAGGGTAAGTTAGGGCAAGTTATACCAAGAATTATGGTAAAAATAATGGTAATGATCTTAAGCTAATACCTCCAATCAAAGAAATTTTATTCCAAAATATTGTTCTCGGATAATCCACCAATCCCTTGAACCAAAACGGCCCCAAGGGTTAAACCCAAATATTGTACAATTTTGCAGGTGATGACGGAGAGAATAAAACTGGAGAAAGAGGAAGGAAAAGGAAAAGATATATTTAGCGTAGAACCAAGCACTTCAAGTGTGGACGCCCTGAAAGATCCAACAGGAATAAAATCAGGCAAAGAAGCAACAAGTAGTGAAGGACCTGCAGAAACACACCAAGAGTTGTCTGAGGAAGCAGCAAGAGTGAAACCTCAAGTTGAGAAATTGAGTCAGAAACTAAAGAAGTTGAATGTCGTCTCATCTTTTTTTAATGGACTCACACTAATGGCTCTTAGTTATCACCTTGTTCACCTAAGCCAATTAGTGCATGCCACCAGTTATTAACACAGCAAAGCTCAGACAGAAGCTCCTCTCAGCAACAGCAAATCTACTAGTTATGATTTTTTTTTTCGTCCTTTCTTAAGAGTTATTCTTGTACTTCATTAACGTGGAATCTGAATTCGAACTGTCCGTATCGGTGTGAATTTGTGATTTGAAGTATAGTTTCCATTAGTTTTTTAATATCTTTTTGAATTGTTTGGATTTTGTATTTATCAATACTGGAGAACTGGCATATTTCTTTCAAAAGCACAAAGTATACTGGCATATTTCGTCCAAAGTATACCGATCGAAGTCGGTTGAAAGAATAAACTGACCGAAATCGCGGAAGTTAAGTAAACAAATCAATATACCCTCAAAAGTTCATATTTTAACTATTACCCAACTATAAATGCAAGATTCCTAAAATTCACTTTCGGGTCTATTCGATCATTCTAACTATTAAGGTGATTACCCAATTCTAAATGCAAGACTCCTAAAATTTATCTTCCGGGCCTACGTGACCGAATTACGGAAATTTTTTAAGATAAACTTTACCCATAACTTCCCGAACTCAAATATATAATTTGTTTCAATTTTTATGCCCAAATTCGTGGTCAAAATTCAAAATACCAATTTCTAGATTTTTTACCAAAACCACAAGTTCTCACTAATTTTCATAAATTTCCATATTAAAAAATATATATAATCCAAGTATTTAACTTGCAATATGTGGGAATCACTTACCTTGACATGGATGATGGAATGGAGCTCCAAAATCGCTCCTAGGTCGGCTCCCATGGAGGAAATAAGGTGAAATGAGCCAAACCCATTTTTTCAAATTTATACACTGCCCATCGATCCTTCTTCGCGTTCGCGAGCCCCCCCATCGTGTTCGCGATGAACAAAATTCTCAAAAATCATTTTCAAACTCTTCTCAGACAGCCTCTAGTATAATGGTCATAACCTTTTGTACAAAACTCCAAATGATAAATGATTTAATGTTTTGAAAACTATACACCATGATTCACAACTATCATGTTTTGGTCATCTCCCAATTCCTTATTGATTTTGAGATATAAGCTGCCAATGTCAGCCTTGTGCAACACAAATTTCTTCTTCATCTTCCCGGACAGCCTGTAGTGTACCAGCCATAACATTTTGTACACAAATTAAAATGCTAAATGTTTACCTTTCTGAAAACTAGGCACAAAATGCTATAACTTTCATTTTCGGATCATCTCCAAATTTCATATATATTGTGAGATATGAGCCTCCGAAGTCAGACATGCGTAACTAAGATTTTCTTCTTCGCGAACGCGAGAGGATACTCGCGAACACGAAGAACAACACCATACACCAGCATCACCTATTGCATAACAGCCCGAAATGATCCGAAATCACCCCGAAACACACCCGAGGCCCCCAGGGCCCTGTCCAATCACACAAATCAGTCCCATAACATAACACGGACCTGCTCGAGACCTCAAATCACATCAAACAACATCGAAATCATGAATGACACCCAGCTTAATGAACTTTAGAACTTCAAACTTCTACATTCAGAATCGAAACCTATCAAATAACGTCCGATTGACCTTAAATTTTGCACACAAGTCACATTCGACATTACGGACCTACTCCGACTTTCAGAATAGGAATCCCACCCCGATATCAAAAAGTCCACGTCCTGTCAAACTTCTCAAAAACCTTCAAATTTCTAACTTTCGCCAAATGACCCCAAAATGACCTATGGACCTCCGAATCCACTTCCGGACGCGCTCCCAACACTAGAATCACTATACGTAGCTATTCCTAGACGCGGAATCCCAAACGGACATCAATAACATTGAAATACACCTCAACCCAAATTTATGAAATTCTTCCAAAATGCCAATTTCCACAATAGGCGCCGAAACGCTCCCGGGTCATCAAAAACCCGATATGGATATACGCCCAAATCCAAAATCATCATACGAACCTCTTAGAACCTTCAAATCCTGATTCCGAGGTCGTTTGCTCATAAATCACACTTTAGTCAATTCCTCCAACATAAGGCTTTCGAATTTAGAATTTTCTTTCCAAATCAACTCCAAACTTCCCGAAATTCAATTCCGACCACGCGTACAAGTCATAATATTTGAAGTGAAGCTGCTCATGGCCTCAAACCATAGAGCGACGCGTTATAGCTCAAAACGACCGGTCGGTTCGTTATATTCTCTCCCACTTAAACATACGTTCGTCCTCGAACTTGCTAAGAACTACTCTGGAGTCGTCTGAAATCACTGGTTAACACTTCGTGCATTCACCCATGTTATCTCAACTTAGTTGAGCACATTAGCTCGAGCTAATCTGAAGATGTTCCCTTTTTACTCAACCAAATGGGCTTTTAGAGCCCAATTCCAACATTCGGAATTCTCTACCAGGCCCGGTTCCATCATATGAACACTGTATCAACCTCTATGCGACGCATCAATACATGACTACATACCTTTGCTGAATCCACAGTATGCACTGCATAACTCACATGACCATAATAACATCCCCTGATAACAATAGCCAAATTTCACGAATCCGATGCTCACAATGAACCTCATGGCATATATAAGTCTTGCTCCAACTCTTGCAATACCGCCATGACGGAAGAGATGTGTAGAAATTCATAACCAACCGCCGAGTCAACAAACCATTGGATCTCTCCTCTTGACTAGAATCACCACCTCATTATGAACCAAATAATGGTATTTGCTCTTTAATATACTGCATATAATTCCATCGCACTGATCCCAGATCCAATAATCTCGTCTCTCCCAGTATAAGCTGCTCAGGCAATAAGCCACCCCAGACACGATCAGAAGTCTCATGTGATGCCATAATGTGGCAACAAGCTACCAACTCGAATGTGATACAATAAGGAAAACGAACTCTGGAAAGGAATGCTCAACACGCGTAACTAACTAGACAACCAAAAAGGTGTTATGAACCTTCCTCAGAAAATGGAAAACAAAACATACGAAAATAGATATAGGGGACTGTACTCAATATCACACTGTTGCGGCGTGCAACCCGATCCAAACAACATACCCGTGGCGGCGTGCCACTCGATCCATACATAAAGTCTATATAAGGAGATACTTACCGAGCTAGAATGCTCATTATTATAAAATACCCAGATATTGTCCACAAGCACGCTAAGTGCATAATACCATACCTGGGGAGACAGATAGTGCCATACGCTATAAAAGTCAAGCACAACTAAGGTGCGATATATGATCTGAATCTCGAGAGACATCCTGCTCACATAACATCATCGCTACGCAAAACCTCAGCACATGTGAAAATATCAAGATGTTTCACAACTCACACGACAAAATATAGTATTACATGAAATAGCTGACGACGAAACGACATCCAACGTTCGAATACTCCTCCATAAGGAGCGCTATGCTGAAATGAACACATCCGGCCTGATATAGAGCCCATATTCATATTTAAATCCATCCAGACCTCAAGATGATTATGATTGCACCGTACTAGGGTAATAACCTTTCAATGGTCCATAATAACCCCTTTCTCCCATAACACACAAGAACAACCATCATAATCGGAACAAACATCCACAGTCCACGGCCAAATGAGCCGAGCGCTCTCCAGGCATAAGTTCCCAAATTAGTGATATTACCGCAATCTTCCTACTTGGTTTCAATTCTTCAATCAATCAAGTGACTACACGTCACACTTATACAATCTTCCCGTGGGATACGCTCCCACGACCTTCTGCACCAGGTAACAAGTTTGCACATCCATACCACTGACCGCACTAAAGCTGTAAAGCAAATCAAGAATCCATAAATCAATACACAAGGCTTCTTACACATGACATCGACCTTAGGTGACGCCGAAAATAATACCATCTTACTTTAAACATCTAAATCCTTTTCCTGCTCATCCGAGCTCATGATATCCTTGTCAACACCGAACCGCAATTTTGACTCCTCAACTTTCGAATCCCATGCTACTTGATGCACTTAATCACGCCAATGCGCAAGAGTACAAGAATTTTATCATAACTCCTGAACCACTAATAAGGTAAACACTTCATCATATAGAAACCTTCTACTTAACTCATTTCAAGAGAACCATTGCAACACGTGACTGAATTCTCATATCCGCATAAAATTCCAACCTCAAGTAGTGGTCTAAACCACCATAACTCTTCCGGAATCCATCTACACATAACATGCCATAATAACTTGAATTCCTCCAAATAAAATCAATTACGGCAGCCGTCAAGCCTCTCACGTACCGCCACAAATCACATGCATAACTCAACACGCTGAAGGAACTGATCATTGCCACTATCATGCCAATTCAACCGTTATTAGCCGACCTATCTTTTCCCAATTTATTCCTAACTTGATTTAGAAATAATAATAGCTCCATTCATTATGTCACGAACTAAATACGCACTCATCTCGAGTGACTTTATTTCACGAGACCATGCTGTCCCAAATCCCACGAACCATCTCATACCCTCCTTGTGCACATATTCGCATCTTCAACTGGTACACCCATTCTGATAATTCCTCTATGAGTCCGAAGTTATTTTCTCCCATTCCTCCAATGCTACACCGCAGACTGAAGATAACATAGAACACTCCAGCCCCCTTTCATAATCCGCTGCAAAAACACGATACTTAACCATACTACGGACTCGAAATCCTTAGGCACCACACTTTAACCTTTGAATCTACTAGGACCGTTGTTGAGAGTTACCCACTCTGACTTACTCCCGAATAAAAAATCAAACTCCAAGGCCCCTCTAGCACACGAACACCCTCTCACTGAAGCACCCCACTAAATCACCTTCCTTGATAATCGCCTCTGTACTAAGCATAAATCACGAACCTTCCCAAAGCCTGAACATGAGTTAATAAGGCAATTATAACACACATTCCTCAAATCCTTTGCTCAATTTACTACTGATGTCCTATTCCCTTAGTTGTATTAACCTACCAATAAACTGATAACCAGAAATCTCATAAATAGACGACCACACAATCCAACTGTTGGCGGTGGAACTCTCCCACTTAGCTTCAAGCTGTCATTGCATAACTCTAGAACCCACCAAGATTCCTTATCCCCTATTGATATGATCTTGCACAATTGACCCACAAAATTCCCCGAAGTAATGTTGTATCCTGCTTCA